GCTCAAAAAGCATTTCCTTTTTCACCAGCACCGATTCTGAACCAAAAAAAAACCAAGAGTCCAAATTTTCATTTATAAACATTTATTTTCTGAAACCGAGGAAAATTAGAATCGGAGCTTCTGGAAGAACCATTTGTTCTTGCCCGTCTTGTACCTGAAAACAGAAACAAAGGAAAAAAAATAGCACAATTTTAGCAGGGTAATGGTGGATGATTACAATTAAAACACCAAAGACAAAAAATAAGCACCAACACCCTACATAGCAAAATGAGACAGAAAGAAAAAAACAGTTTGTTCTGACCTCTCCTCAAACTTGACCTTCGCCTCCCGTCTGGCCTTGCGTTTGAGAGCAGGATCCCTGAAGACGTCCTTGTTGACGACAGTTTTGTCCAGAGGAATGTCCACAGAGTATCTGAGGATGAACGAGCACAGTGGTGAAAATATGATGGGACCTTTTGGATCCTGCTAGCAGGTTTCTACACCTCAATCAGTTTAAACCCGCCAAAAAAGCAAGGAATAAAGAGACAATTAAATGCTCTTAACCAGGACACAAATCGGTGTATTAACACAATTTTGACATTTTGGGCCAGTTTCCAATGGGGAGAGTAAAGAGCAAAATGAGCAGAACAAAGCTTCAGATGTGGGGGAAAAAAAGGCAAAAAGCTGAAGCAACTACAAGTAAAGCTGATCACAAATTTACTCAGTGGCTTCGTTCTTCTAAACCAGGTTCACTGTCTTACATGTTTTAGGCATTTTTCCGCCTTCACACACCTGACCTGAATGAAAAGGTGGTTAACAAGGGGCCATGAGCGCCGGGGTTAAGAATCCCTGCTCTAGGTGTATGAATCAGAATCAGAATCGGGTTTGTGGGTGGAAGTTAGTTAAAAAGACTGTGAAATTTATGAAATATATTTTTTTTTCTCTTGCAATTGTTTTAATGACCAAGAGTCCTACCAAAGATGCACAAATCAGGCATTTAACCATCGAAAAAGGAGCCCAACTTTCTCCACAGGTCTTTTGGGCTTATTATGAATCTTTTTAAATTACATGGATATAAAATGTGCAGCAGGTTTGTGTTAGTAGGGGCTGTGGTTTCAGCAGAAAAAAAAATAAGGATTTAAGAGATTATCTCAAAGCACTCTAATGTTCTCATTTACTGTTGAGTTTTATGTAATGACAAAAAGGCTTTATGGACTAATCATTAGTTAAGCTGTATTTAATGAACTGGTAGAAAAAAATATCACCAAGAATTTTAGACAAATCTTTTATCAGAGCAGATGAAGGTTTCGATCAGTTTGATTTCTGCATCTCCAAATTATTCAAACAAGTTAAGATTTGTATCTAGATGACAAAAAAATAAAAAATAATCCTGTCCATCTTTGGCAGATTGGCTGCAATATTTGCTATCAGAGGAACCCCACAAACTATAGTTTAATACCACAAATGTCCCCTTAAAAACCCCATATTGATTAAACCCAACAAGACCCATCTAACGATGTGGATGTTTTAGATCCTGACTGCCTATTTCTTTTATTTGCTAAAAATTTGGTTAAAAAAAAAAAAAAAAAACATTCAGAAGAGAAGAAAGAAGCTTGACCTGCTTGACCATTTCTAATGAATGGCAAAGCTTCAGACCAGATGCATTGACAATCCTAATGGCTCACAATCATTATGGCCTGAAAAGAAACAAACTGCAGTTCTGTGAAGCCTGAAACTAAAAGGATAACCTGGGTTTTTTCCACACACGGGACAACCTTCGATTTGGCGGTTTGACAAGAATCAGTGAGCTGTTCCCACTGCCACTAAAAGCTGATGGTTCCTGAGTTCAAAAGGCTTTTTCAGGGGTATTACTACTGCAAGCTGATGCTTAATATAAGTTCTGTTCATCCTTCTGCACAGTGAAAGGGGAGAAACACTGATAAACACAGAGGATTCAATTCAATATCTGACATCATGATAAAAAGAAAGGCTGGCTTTCTGGGAGATACAGGCAGAGGAAAATATTTACTCTCAGAGCAAAGCCAAGTTGATGGTAGAGCTGACCCCTTTAATGGGTCACATTTAAAGATACCATCTAAATTCACCACCTTTTCCCCTGGTCCTTGCTCAAATAGCTAAATATTAGATGGTTATTGATAGACTAAATGAAGACTTGTCTTTACAACCATATTTTCGGCCCTAGAGGAGAAAAGTACATGTTTTCGTTTGCAATGATGACTTTGTATTTACTCCCCTAGATGATGTCATCAGGGGGTATGCTGCCTAGAAATACTTCCTTTGAGCAGTTTTAATAATTAAAAAGCGGAAGGATTACCGTCATGGTAACAGAAGGGAATGTAAATGAAATGTATTGGTAAATATTGTGATATTGGTTCAAACGATGATCATACCGATTCAAAATACCCAAGTTGATGTTAAAAAAAAAAAAAATGGAATCAAGGTCAAATATATAAAAGACAATGAAACTGACGTTTGCCTATAAATACTTCATATAACTTAAACCCCCGCCAGGCAGCTGGCGGCGCATGGCCCAAGAACCGCTCTGCAATGCCCACAGTGGAGCAACAAATAGATCTTGTGAGGTTTTACAAAACTGTCGAATAAATATCTCAATATATCATCTTTATGACTGTACCAAGATGCATCAGCATAAATCGTATCATGAATTGTATTGTAATACACATTTTAATCTGCAAATTCTTGCCAATCCACACCCCTAGTTAACAGATGATCCAAGGTTTATTGCAAAGACTTATATCTACCACCAATTAAGTCTGTCAATTCATTTTCTGATGCTAAACGATATAAGCAATTTTTGTGTATAAATCTCAGAAAGTGCAGCTGCAGCGTCACAATAATAATGCAGGGGAAAAAAAGAAGTTATATTTTTGCTATCAGTCATACTATCAGAATCCCCAATAATTTGGCCAAATATTTCTGTTTCTACACTAAAATCAATTTTCTGTCTCAGACAAAAATACTCAACGTTCCCAGAAGCAGAACCAGACATTATAGGTGGCTGTGTGGCGCTGACCTGGTGGGCATGAGGTGGTTGTAGTTGAAAACTTTGACGAAGGCCTTGATTTTGGATCTCTTGGCGATCTTCTTCTTGCCCATGGTGGTGGTCACCTTACGGGGGTAGCGGTCGATGCCTGCGACCAGAGCGTGGCTGTAGGGACGATCAGCGGTGCCATCATCTATGTTCTGTAAGATCAATAACAGAACGTTTCACTACAATTAGATTGGGAAACATGTTAAAACACCTAATTAAATATAATTACAAGAAAAAGCGATGATTAAAACTTCTCCAAGAAGTGCAGATCCTGAACCAAAATCTTAAATATTTAACTTGAAATATTCTAATATGCTTAATATGTCTTTATGCAGAGAGAATTCATCTGCAAACTATACATTTAATATCTGTATATTGTAAACATAAGTTTAAACTAACTTTGACTCATTATGCAGGCTCTGAATAAGACGTACACGGTCAGTAAATAGATTATAAGTCTTTAATGAAACGGATACATTTCTGCCAATTTTTAAAATCTTGACTATATAGGAGTCCCTTACCAAATGCACACAGATCAAATGGTGAAAATCTCTGCATTTAAGGAACTTAAACAGTTAAAATACTGTTCATCTTAAAGCATTTCAGGTACAGAGGCAGGAAAACAGCTAAAAATACCACATCAGCCCCAATATATTTAAAGATTTTGAAACATTTGCAGGATTCTTCATATAGCTATAAATTACCATCCAATTTAAATGTTCAGCTATTTTTCGTCAGCAAAACGGTTTGATTTCATTATTTACCTTGGGAATCATGGTTTAACTGTTTTTATCTCAATTTATATTCACATTAGTTAGTTATGATCTAATAGATTTACTGATCTATGATATGTTTACCAACATTTCACAGGAAAACTGTCAAACCAGTCTCTATAGTTTGGTTAAACTTTCAATGAATACTTTCGTTACTTTCCATTGATACCTTCCAACGTTTAATCCAAGAAAACAACTCATACCTTGACGATGACAGCTTTTCGCCCGGCGTAGCGTCCAGCCAGGACCATTACAACCTTCCCAGGCTTCATAAACTTGCCCATTGCTGGAAAAAACAAACATAATTACTCCATCTGCAAAAAACCGATGTGAACGTTTACATTACCTAGCGGTCTCTCCCCTACAGCAAGGCTAGTTAGCATTATGCTAACTGTAAGCCAACCTAGCAGTCAATTTGTGCATTTCTATGCTTACATAGACTCTCTGGGTGTTTCCCTTAAATTGAGCAACATGCTTTAAAATCAATACAAAAACCACAAAGGTGAATTCATGTTTAATAATAAACGAACAACGTTATTAACTAGTGTCCAGCATTAGCCTTCAGAGGGCTGCCATGTTGGAAAGAGCATTCGGGAGGCAAACTAACTTGAACAAAACAAATCATTTTCTTCTTTAATCAAGCGATATCTCACTAAATATCAGGTATATTTTGATAATGGAGATGATTGCCTGGGATACGGGGTAATAGAAACATTAAATTAGGGGAGATTTAAGGCGATGGATGTAGATAAAATTGAAGAAAATTTCACTCACTGATGCTGCTCTACGGCCGCCGCTAGCAGGAAAAGGAAGTCCAGAGGCCTAACGTGACCTACGTCACTTCCTAAATAATGTTACAGTACTTAGGAATCCTGCCAAAATAAGATGCAGTATACGGTAACTTAATGTATATAAACCAAAAACAGAGGCTAATACTTCAACACTTTTTACAAAACATTTAGGAAAAAAAAGGACTTTAAACAAATTCGCTTACTTGCAAATATTTGGCAAATAAAGATGATACAAAACGGAAAAAAACACATTAAAATATATCACTCATTTATGATTGCAAAGTAACGATAATAATATCAATAAGAGCCTAACAAGATCAGGAAGAAATGCATAATTTTATTTTTTTAATAAAAAATTTAAAAACATGCAAAAAAATTTGGTCGTTTTTAAACACAAACATTACTTAAAGGGTTGTAAGAGTATGTTGAAGACTATGGCAAAAACAATGGAAATCTGTGCTACTAGTTACTACGGAGGAGTAAGGATGAGTCGTACAATTAGAAATATTGGAAGGAGTTGTTGAAGCTAGTTTGAGGATAAAAGCTAAAAATCACAGAGCAGCAGTTTAAAACAAGGCAAAGAATGATTTCTGCAGATGTTAAAGTGTTAATAGAGAAGGCTAAAAAAAAGTTTCACAGCCTCACAGAGCATATCAAGAAATCCTAGTGCCAAGAGCAGAAAAGTGGTATGGATTGGGAAACCAGCATTAAAGAATGAGTCAATGAGGGGATGTTAGAGATTGAGCTGACAGATGGGATCATAGTCAGTATGGATTGTACAGAATCAGATATAAGCTCCATGGTTTACAAAGGTGACCGACAGGTTGACAGGTGATGTTTGTTTGCAGATGACATGGTGAAAGTAGAAAGTAGGAGAAACAAGGAACTGCAGCTTCATCGATGTAGTAAAGGAGGATCTTCCTTCACCTTTCATGGGATCAACAGTAAGAACTCTATTGTGGAAAGGAAGTTTCTGCTGTGATTATTCTGGATGGCCTTCAGTCTTCAGGATTTTGTTGTGTGATGAAAACGCACATTGATGAGGATTGTAAATCTGGAACTACAGCCTTCCAGAAAAGAACCATGAAAAATCCCAGGTCACACGAATGTGGCAAAGTGATGAAGTTCCATCCGTCTTCTTCCGCTCATCCGGGGTCAGGTCGCTGGGATAGCAGCTTCAGTAGGGAGGCCCAGACGTCCCTCTCCCCAGCCACTTGGGCCAGCTCCTCTGGAGGAACCCCCAAGGCGCTCCCGGCCCACATAGTCCCTCCAGCGTGTCCTGGGTCTCCTACCTGTGGGACGTGCCCGGAACACTTCACCAGGGAGACATGCTGAAGTTCTCCATCATGTGAACATTGCTGTGTCACACCTGAAGCATAAAACTAGTTTGGTTCATTTCCATGAGGAGGTCTGTACCTAAACAATTATTTCTGCAAATGATTGTGGGATTTCTCATAGCTCTAACCACCCAAGCAATGTTAAAGGAACTAAGATAAGAAGGATACAGGCTTTTTTTCCTACTTGCTGCCAGCACTATTCAGACAGCACTTACGGCAGTGTTTGCTGAGATCGAATTCATGGGCAGCATCCTCCCAGATTACATCATAACGCGGAGTCATGTGCTATTCAGATTGGAAGACTCCTCATTATGCGGCTGAGAAATCCAGCCTTCTTTTTGCCCGTTTTGAAGGACAGATCCGGTGTATCCTACGCAGCCATAGGTATCCCATGATTCATTGAGAGTCCAAGAAAACTTACTGCCCCGAGCTCAGAGGATAAAGGCAAATGGTGCTGAACAGTGTTGAATATTGTAAGTGCAGTTTAATATAATTCAAGTATTAATATTTGGAAAATTATTGGAAATTGTCATTTTAAATGGTTATTGAGTCAGATATGTACATGTAGCAGGTAATGTTTGGTTTATTAAAAGGTTCTATCTATCCCGTTGCAAATGGGTTCAATGTTGTTTAGACTCAAATTTATTTAGCACAGATTCCAATATCTATGCAGTCTGTGGACTATAAATATGATATTCGCAACAATGTTGCTGAAAATCCTTGAAAATGTAATTAGCACATAAGACAATAGTGAGAAGTTTGATATCTATTCTTTGCCTGCTTTGTGTGTCGCGGTTGCTAGGCGACAGCGCGTATGGGCAGTGAAAGCTGGAGTAGGCTGGACCTGTTTGAATCTAAAGCCAAAACTTTTCCGGACCCCTTATTTTCATGGACCTCAAACACACCACTCTTGATAGGATAGGATGGGGTGAGATGGAGGCAGGTAATAAAGTTTGGCGCCCTCTAAAGGTACAAGCATGAAGAGAAAAACTTTTAATTTAATAGATTCAGTTTATTTTACAACTGCAGGTTTACATTAAATATAGTAAAACCAAAACATTTCATATATCCTCATATATTATCTTTAACTAATTAAATATAGCATAAGTTATTTTAAATGATCCCATATGCAGCTCCAAGACTCAACTGCTACAGCACAGCAGCTACTTAAAGTGTTTGAATTGCATCTAATAAATAAACATCTAGACAAAAACAAGGAAAAAGTGAGACAGCATGTAGTAAATGTGACTGAAGAAGGTGCTCTACAACGAGAATACAACAGAAAATACATACAAAGGATTTTAGTGTCATACATGTTAATAAAATAAACAACCAATATGAGTTAAACTGAAGATTAACAGCATTTACGGTTCATACATTCAGGTCTTCACTGAGATAATCTACTGCTGATGGAAAATAAAAGAGATTCTGGAATAAAAAGGATTCCTTTAATTATGAGATTTCCTCATACCCCGGACGGTAAACTCACTTAATATGAAAAACACTCGGAGCCGAAACACAGGAACACATTCGGTGGTTCGTTTAACATGGCAGAAAGCTGCATGTTTACAACAGCGTCACGCAGAGCGGACATTTTTCCTCTGGTGCGGCCAGAGAGCTTCGATTTTGATGCCGTTTGCTACACAAATCCCTCCTGCTTTGGTAACAGCATCCGGCACAGTTTCACATCTTTTCCTTCTCTACCTTTCCATTTATGGTAGCTTTTCGTCACTCCCACCATGTTTGCTGCATAGGTTCAGGGCACTATCAGGTACAGCAGAGGAAGATGCATGCTGCTGAGCATAGGTCACATAGATCGTACAAGAAGGCTTACTAAAGGTGAGGTAATCGCTGTCGGAGATCTAAGGCATGTTCACAGTACAAGCAGCGCTGCCGTCTTAGTGGGATATGCAGATTAACACCACATCCATGCACATACTGCTCACATCACACACGTAAACAACCTTTAAAGGGTTAAAGAATACCAACAGGATCATGCTTTTGGTCCCGAACGAAAGCTGGTTAAACGCTTTAATGATGGGCCTCGTCAGAAAGCGTCTTTTATGTTCTTGAGCTGCCGTACAGCCAGGTCCACCGGCAGGTTGAACCTGAGGTGGCTGATGCGGCCCAGGATGCGTAGGGCTCCCTCGAAGCCCGTCTGGGCCATGTAGCTCCAGCACTGGTAATGGGGGTGTATCAGAGTGGTAGACTTACACAGCAGGTTGAGCCACGACACGAGGCGCTGCTCGTTCAGAGCCATGCACACCAGAGCTTTGAACTCCGTGTCCGGCCCCCTCTTGTAGCGGCCGTGCTCCTTCAGCACCGTGTGGATGGCCCACAGCAGAGATTGCTTCGGGGTCACCGGTCCTGGGCCGACGCCGACATTCAGGCTGAAGGACTGGGAGAGCTTCCGGGCTGGCGATTCCACAAAGGCTTTCCCGTTTTTGGATTCGTAAAACTTCACAAAGAGTTCCCAGGGGTGCAGGGTTTGTGGGGCGGGTGTGTAAGGCAGAAGGCAAGAGATGGGGGCCAGCACCAGGCTCATGGTCTGCGAAGGGGAAAACAGGCCGTGAGCCAACAGGTCCTTCAGAGCCAGCGACAGCTCCTTCCTCACGGCGGTTGTCAGCTCGTCTCGGGCCCCTAACGTGGACGTGCTGCTGTAACTGACTACATGTTCCACTGAGGGATGTCGGCGCGAGCCCAGCACTCGCACCTTCTCCACGGCGGCCTCCAGACGCTGGAGCAAAGGGCCGTAGTCCCGCCCCGGCGAGTCCTGGGGCCACATATTCTGAGGGACGTGTCCGGCGGAGCAGCCGAACTGACTGGCAGCGAAGATCTGCAGCACAGCGAGAGCCTTCTGGATGAGCTGCAGGCCGCTTTCCCGCATCCTCTGCGCCTGGACCGGATCCACTGCAGGAGGGGGGGGAGCAGTTCACACAGGATGAGGAGGATGTTCCAGTTTAAAAGAGTCCGACGTCTTTAAAAAACCGTCTTACCTTTCTTTTTCATTCCCGCAGCTCCGGCGTTGGCTGCTCCAGGTTTCGGCTGTTGACTCCGCCCACCATCCGGCAAAAGAGGGTTTCCCACTTCATCTTTAGGAGGAGAAGACAAAAATCTGAATAAAAGGCGTAAATGCAGTAAAGAAAAGGCTGCTAATTATCTCAGCGACCCGTCGCCATCCTGCATACCCTGGATGAAGTTGATGAACATCTCCAGGTCTCTGATCTGAGTCTTGAGCTGCTCAACCAGCTGCTCTTTGACTCTGGCCGGGTTCACGATCTGAGCGATGGCGGCGTCCACGCGTTGTCTCAGCTCCTCTGGGGACAGGTTCCCGATGTCCTCGTTCAGATTCACATCCAACTTTTTTATCAACTCGTCAATGATGACCTGAAAACAGAAACAGGGTGAAGATAAAACGTCTTCTCTGGGATTTTAAGGCTTCTTAAAGCGTACAGAGTAGAAACTCGTCGAAAAACTTGTGGGAATTTTCATCAACTTTACTTCCAAATTCCAGTCATCAAAATAAATAAACCAGAATCTCTTTATCATTGCTAAAATAATCCTCCATAAATATTTTTGGTAATTTAAGATTTTGATTTTATTCTATCAAAAAATAATAATACATCAAATTAACTGTTAATTATCAAACTCCAAGCTGAAAAACTCCTGGAATGTTAGTTTGTTTTTGTTTTTTTTCTGACATTAGCCTAACTGATCCCTATATACATGCCGCCAATTTTTCCTCCATAAATACTTAAACATGAAATAACAATTTATTACCAAAACAAATATAACATGGATCACAAATGTATAGAGCTTTGATGTGTAACTATCCTATGCATCTTAAGGCATGGCTGCTAAGAATGGCGATGAATCGGCGAATGTTTGCACAGATCGATACTGATGCGGAGAAAAAATAAACCGCTATCGACCAGATATATCAACTAGGGGTGTAAATAATAATCATTTTGTATCGATGCATCGACACGTCCGCATAAGTATCGATTCATGTTTTTTTTCCTCCGGTCTATATTTATCCATTTGCTCCTGGACGTAGTTCTCCATCCCGTGCTGCGGTGGCGCTAAACCTATTTTGCCCTCCTACCTCGCTTCCTGGTTATACTCTTACAGCAGTGTGTTGCAGTGAGCTTGACACAGACATTTTTTAAATTATGCTCAGTATTGAAGCGTGGTCTGTGCTACACACTGTGGGTCTAGATACGATTGAGGCGATGAGGAAGTGGGGGGCGAGTTTAGTCCGACGACGGAGGGACATGAGGGCCAAAAAGAGCGGAGATCCAGGTGGAAAAAGGGTCCCAGCATTCTCACCTCGCTCTTCTAGCGGGTCAAACTTCACGAGTTGTTTTCCGCAATTTCGGTCATAAAAACAAAACAAGCCTGCCTCCTGTCTGCGGCACTGTTTGCGGTCAGCTACAATTTGGGAGAGGTGCAGCGGAGCGTCTGGAGCCGAGGTATTGAATTTCACTCATTGCACTGATTTTGTGCAGTATTTTTTTTATGCAAGGGCTTGCAGAATCTATAACGCAGGGGTATTATTATTTTTCAGTGAATGAGGTTTTAATAGGAATAGGTGGAGTACAACTTTTCTACTTCTGTTATTATCTGTAGTTTCTCAAAAAGAAAATGCATAATGATATTACAGCTTTGATTGATTTATTTCAAATTTGAAACATTGTCTAGCCTGTAAGGTGTTAAAAAAAAAAAAAGAAGAACCAATTAATCGAATCAAATCGTATCTTGGTGTATTCTTGAGTATAGAAAATAATCGACTCGTTGGGTCAGGAAACCGATACTGAATCGAATCGCCATGATGGGTGAGATTTACACCCCTAATATCAACCGACCCATGCAGCGGTGTGTCTTTGATATTAAATTGAAAATAAGGTCTGAGAGAATGGGTCCAGAGTTGGAATCATTGAGCTGTCATTATTTAATGAGCTGTTAGTTAGATCAATCAGCAGGATACTAAAAAAAACAACCAGATCAGGTTGTAAAAGTTAAAATTTATTTTTTATTTTTATTAAGATCTGAGAGATATTTCTCCAGACTGCTAAAGACTATAAGTTAGAACACCCAGCTGATGCAAAGCGACTCCTGCTGAACCAGCTGAGTTCAGGTCCAGTAGAACCCAGATATCTGTGAGGGAACCCAGGACACTGCGTCTCCAAAGGAGCTGCCAGTCGCTCAACACTTCCTGATCCTTAAGTTGATTCTAAACAAACTCGCTGCTGATTCCCGTCAAATAACCGAGCCCTCAAATCAGGGATTTCCAGAAGCGGTCAAACCTGGTCTTCCTTATGTACATCGCTGAGTTATGCAAACAAGGAAGTGCCTTTTGGTTCTGGGAAGAGCAAACAAGCTCATATTTGTCTAATTATAACTTCAGTGCCCAGTGGATACGTCCTTGGTAGGAGAGCCTAGAGTAAATGTTTTAAATGTTTTCATAAAAAACGAAAGACAAGCATGTTTGGCGTGACAGGGCGGCTGTTTAAAAGAGGAATCAACTATAATTTACTGAAATTACAAGTCATTCGCCTGGATAAAACGATAAACTACAGGATTTTTACCAAAGCACTAACATGTGATGTGACTGTTTGCATTTCCACACCTTCTGTCTCTCCATGACGACAGACTGCGGCAGCGAGTCGTAGCTGCCCTCCTGATAGGCGAAACGTTCCAGGTCATCCAACTGCGTCTTCAGCTGGAAAATGAGATCCTTTTGTTTTTCCCTCTGAGCCTCCAAACGTTCTCTCTTCTCCCTCTCGCTCTGACAGGAGACACACAAACACACAGACATGGAAAGTGAGAGGCAGACACATCTCAGGAGATGGTTTTTGGCACAAAGGGCGTCCACTCACCAGATCTTCCTGCAAATGAAGCATGTGGCAAAAGAAACAAGAGGTTTTTAGATTAAAAAAAAACAGTGAGCTGAAAGTTCTCATCAGGAAAAGCAACAGGAATAAAGCAGCATTATCTGTTTTTTAAGTATCTGCAGCAGGCATTTACACTGAATCAAAGGGCAGCATTTTTCCCAACGGGGCTCAGAAAACTCCAGAAACAAACAGATTAATTCAACACATATATCAGATTAAAATAAAACAGATCACAGAACATAAAGCGTGTCACTTAATCTGCATATGTCTGCTGAGCTGCAACCGTTAAATTTGCAATCACTTCCAGGATGGATTACATTTTGTGTCAGGATCTGCAAGTTGGGTTTTGATTTGGCTTGTGATTGTGTCCTAATCATGACAGACATCTTTCCTTCAGAGAAGCTTTAACGTTTCCTGCTTGTCGAGTTGAACTCACTTTTACTTTCTTTTGGGATTGAGACACTGGGAAATTCTTCTCTCTAAGTTATGTAGATGCAATCATTAGTTTCTCGACTTTGCAATACACCTCCGCGCTGTCATTGTTGTTTCCCCGCTTCCTCCTCTCTCCACTTTCTATCTCCATAATTCAAGAAACTGGCTTTATTGTTTATTTTCCTAAAATTTATCTCATTACTTCAGAAAAATCCTATGTTGTCCTTTATTTCTATAAGATTGTATCTCATTAATTCAGAAAAATGTACCACTTTCTTTCTTTTTTCGGGTGAATGCAATATACTTCTCTAGTGCTTCTACACTGCAAAAAATAGAAATCTCAATAAGTTATTTTTTCTTAAAATAAGTGTGTTTTTCCTTGATTTGAGGAGGTACCGGTAAGTAAGACACTTTGCCAATGGAACAAGACAATTTCCTTTTAAAATAAGAAAAAACTATTTTATC